CTATGGGTAGGACTCAACTTGCTAAACTTTGACTGACTAGAAGTTTGTGTCCAGTCTGAACTAGACATATAGGTACTCTCTGTGGACAGCAAATAGACACAGGCATGTCCAGAGAATGATTCATATCTTGAGTTGGTCTCCAAGGGAAGAAGTGTGACTTCTCCTCTGACAGTGCTGTTTTATGGGGAGGTAAGTAGTTTAGAATTGCAAGCCCATATTAGGCAGCTAAAAATAGGTTACTTGAATCCTGTCCTTTGTGACCATTGTGATCTTCACAGACCACTAGAAACTGCCCCAGAAATGATGAGCCAATGCTAATTGCGCCTCTGCAGACTGTTAGCTGACAAACTGTGAGATCTTTTGCTTTCCAGAAGAGTTCAGCTCGTTCCCAGAGAGTGATGCAGGAACTGGCAAGAAGATCCTCTACAGGAATAAGAAGAAAGGGGGGGGGAGGGTGGTGGTGGTAGTGTATCAGCAGTAATAGAGACAAACCCCAGCCCTCAGACTAAAAGCCTTAGTTGTGCAAACCAAGTAGAGAAGGATGCTCTTGGAGCTATTTGTTTTATCCTTTCTGCTTTTTCATTCAGTTTCTTGCCCATTTTCTCCCTTGTTTTTGTGGAGACGCTTACACCACACGGCTAGACCACCATTCTCCTTGAATCCATTTTTAAATGGTGGTTCAGGTAAGACGACTGAACTGCTTAACTGAGTCTGTTATATCTCCTCTGGTGATATATTTCCATTTTGCCTGACATAAATGAGTATGGGAACAAATAAATAGACAAAGAGAATTAATAACATCTATATCCTTTAAAAAATACCTAAATTTCAGGCCCTGAAGATGAAACAACCCCAAAAGACAATGAGGAAGCCCCAGGCTGGGTGATCCAGCAGAGCTTGTTGGGTGGGGTGCAGGTGGGGTATGAAATGAGGGTGCTGTATGAGCTCCGTACTATGGGACACGATGCAGCCATTATTTGAGAGAATTGATTCCTCCTTGTTTCTGGGAAGGAAAAGTTAGGGCACCTTCATGGCTGTAGGTTGTGACATGAAATGAGCATCTATCTCCCCTGCAGCCCAGAGCCAAAATGGCACAGCCTCACCCGGTTGAGCTGGGTATCCCAAACGGACTGGCTACTACCACATAGTGAGGTTTTATCTCCCTCATCCCCTCCTCCAGCAGGTTTCGAGGCTTGTGCAGAGTTTAGTGTTCGTTGCAGTTCTGTGCTTTCCAGCAGAGCCTGCAGCAGCCATGGGTAGTGATGACTAAGGCAGGCCTTGAGAGCAGCGGCTCTCAGGCCAGAACTTGTCATCTCAGGCTTTCCCATTAACTTCCTAGTTGGACCCTTGCTCAGACTGCTGGCTCCAGCGGACATCCTCCTTACATATCCACCCACATCTTGGGGGGGCAGTAGGATCCAGCAGCCTCGCAGCTAGTGGAAACATCTCCTTTGTGGAACGTGAGCTGCGAGGTTTTGGGATCCCACTGCCCTCCACAGTACCAAGCAGCATGGTCTGTGGGTCAGGGACCCATAGAGGCCAGCCAAGGACTGAGAGTCCCCTGCATGGCTGGGCACTTAGTGCCACATGTGGATGTCACACTGACCAAAAGAGTCAGTGTCTTCCCCTGTTCTACCCTCCATTAACCTGTCGGTCCTGCCAACACAGCACAGGTTGTGCTGCGAACCAGACCTGGGAGCTACACTGATTACTAAAAAACCTCTATCCCTCCTTTTCTAATTTAATGTGGGGCACTTCAGTGAGCTCAAATCATGGATACTGAACAGCAGCATCCACTCCAGAGAGGGGGAGGTGAAATCAGGGGGAGAATGCGCAGATGGAAATGGTGATGGAGGAGAGAACATAACATTGAACCAGACCCTGAGAGTCTTGTGGGGTGTTTTAAATAATTTAGGCCTAGGTTTTAAGAAGTTACCCTGAAGCTTGAACTAATGTGGTTTGTTTCAGATCAGCTGTTAAGGGAAAACTGTCCTCCTCCTTTGAATTTTAAGTATCTTTGAGTACTCTAAGTACTTTAAGTACTTTTGAGCCTTTGAGTACCTCAGACTGTCCCACAGCAGAAGTCAGACCTCTAAAAACACTCTGATGGGGAGGTGGCACAGGAATCATCCTGCTCACCTTCCCTCTTCTCCAAATCCTTGCTCCCCTTCACTATCACATTTGTGCAGCTCTGTGCTGAGACAGGTTAGGGAAATAGTCCTGGGGCTACTTCTGAGCTTAGTATCTTCTTTCCTTCCTTAGGAAAGGACACATTTTGGCCTCCATTTCCCTCTTCTTCTGTCAAGACAGTGCAACTGTTTGCAGCAGAGCTGCAAAATCGTGTGGATTATTCCTCCCTCGCAATTTTTTCATTCTTTTTTTCTTTTCTATCTTTTCAGTTTCATTTTAAATACCTTGCTTAAAGTTGAGGTGGGAACCAGTGGTCAAGGGTGGCAAAGCGTGGAAACCTCTTAAACTGGCTTTGTGACATTGAAAAGGAGCTGTGAAGGGGATCTCGCAACAAATTGTAATGTTTAACCATGCCCTACCAGGGCCAGGAGCTCAGCTGTGTGTCATGGGGCCTCTGGGGCTGGAGACCGTCCCTTTGCAGCCCCCCTGAAGCTGAGGAGCAGCGTACGCCCATCTTCAGACCACATGGTGTCCACTTCTCCAGGTTTCTGGGGAGATCTGTCAGGCTACAGGGCATGCTGGCTTGTGACAACTCACTTATGCAACATAGGCTGTATCTGCTTGCTGCTGTCAGCTTGTGGAAATCTGCAAATAATTGTGAAGTCTGCTGGTTTAATTGGCTTGTGGTGTATTTGCACAGATGGGTGAAGACTTTCAGGTCAATATTTTCCAGAGTGACTTAGCAGTCTCTCAGCTTTAAGATGCCCAATATGAGACACCTTAAAAGCGATGGGTTTCTGCAAATTTCTTTAAGAGAAGCACCCTCAAACTGAAGTAATGCGAACAACCCGTTACTCAGAAACCCCCTTCCCCAGAGACCCTGAGCTGGGGGAATCTTTCATAGTAGCTTGATGAAAACCAAACTAAATTTGTAAAAACAACACCAGACATCTTAACACATCATTGGTTCAGCAGAAAAACCCAGTGAGAATGCGTGTGTGTGCAGGCTTCTCCACAGAACATATAATGAATAAATGCATATTTGTGCGCTAAGGGAAGGAGGAGAAGACAGACATTTCGTTTCATGTGAGAGTCAGCTGTTATGGCTGTTGTTATTTTTTTTTTTAATAAGGTACAAAATGTTACTGTGGAGCAGTGTCCCCGTGTGCTCTGGCACTTTTCCAGGCCTAGAGCTAAGTGCTTACTGGGGAAAAGAAAGCATCGTACTTGACTTTCTGAAGTATAGGCTGTTATCGCTTGTTAGAAGCTGGAAAGGAAAAGAATCAAATTACTTATTAATTAAATACAAACTCTGTAAAATTGTTCAGAAGTTACCAGCCCCTGGGGCCCAAGCTACAGATGCCTCATATTTGAATGTACAAAAGAAATACAGTTTATTAGCATTATCATCAGCTTTTTCCACCAATAATTTGCAGGGAGACAAGAGAGCTGCTGTTCTCACTGAAAGATTCCACCAAACCACCCTTGCAAAAGAAACAATTTATAAGAAGATATAAATTACTCTTGTAAAACGTTTTTAGGAGCATCCACAGAAGGGATAGTACCAACCTAAAATCAATTCAGTTAAAACAGTTTTCACAAGCAGAAAAATGGTGTAGCTACATGATCTTGCTGTAATTATTACTGAGAATATGACCAACAATGAAGTTGGGGTGCCCTGGTGCTGAAGTCATTCACTTTGAACCAAAGCTAGTTGGTTTGTAAAGTCTTCCTTCCCAAATGGTTGTCCAGATCATACGTTCGGAGTTGGATTCAACCCTTCACTTGTGTAGCCAAAATGGACCTCAGTTGCCAGTGTGAGCACTTCTCACTCTTTCTGTGTCAATTAGTTTTTGTCTTAAAGCTCATGTTCCTGAAGTCATGCTACTGCTTCTTCAGGGAGTTTTGAACCTTTCCAGTAGAATGACTTCCTGGTATCTGTGGATAAGATGGAAGTCTCGAAAAGCAGAAGACATTACAAAGAACCCCAACACTTATTCTTTGGAAACCTCAGCATTATTAAAACCCTGAAGCGCCCTCGCACCCTCACAGCCATGTACTCTTTAGAGCCCAACCTCCACTTTCCCACTAGGCACCATGAGAAAGCTTGTTGCCAACCATCTTCTAGAGCATTAGAAACAGGTCTTCAAAGGTATTTAGGCACCTGCATGCCTTTGAGGAGTTGGCCCTGAGTTCTCAGCAGGCTTAATTTGGCCTGGTGGGTGGCTGACTAGCCTCTTTTGATTGCTGAGCGCCGAGAGTTGGGGTTTTTGTTTCTAACTCTGGGGCTGAGCAAACCAAACACAGCAGAATGAGGCAACCTGAAGGAAGGGTCTAGCAAGGTCTAATAGTTTCCTCTGAAGACTAGCAAGGAGCATTTTAGAAAGAGCCCCACACTGGCCTAAGAAGTTTTGTCAGCTCTCAGGTTCTTAAGGCTAATTGAAATGACGGTTGCTGTAGGCTCAAAAGGTGTTCAGACACTCACAAGGCCAGATGAGAGGTTGGGTTATTTTTTGGCAGTTTTCATTGTTTGAGAAGGGCAAAGCATTTCTGAGAGGTTGCACATGGCTTGTGAGTAATGGAGACCACCAGGAATAGAATTTATTTTAGGACTTTGTTATAGAGATCTGAAGAGCAGTTATTGAGTCAGTTATTGTTATTGCTGCTGCTGTGATTTCCCACCTGTTTGTTGCTGACTTGGGGTGGAGGGGCAACAGCAGAAAAGAATTGCCTAGGCCTCTCATTGTACCAGCTACGTTTTGTCATTGCCATTCAAGTAAGCTGTTAAGTATAAACTACAAGAATTGCAATGCTAACTTTGTCCTTTGCAAACTGTTTTGAGTGAAAGTTGTTCTCCAAAAGCCTTTCAGATACAGATAACAAAGTGTCAAATCCTTTAAAGTAATGCTTTCAGGTGCTTGTCTTTGAATAGCTGTCCCAGTTTAGCTTCTGGCTGTCAGAACAAAGGGAGTAACCAAGCAGCTTGTTAGAGTCAAAACCCAGAGCAGATTAAGCCTTCGCTCTGAGAAATGTTTAGCTCCTTATGAGGGAAACCCAGAACACATGCTGGTAAATACAAGGACTCTCTTTTTCTGTCATTCTCATGAGCAACAGAAATCATGGCCCCAGTGAATCTTGCAGGAGACTGGCTTCAGTGACGCAATTTTTGCCCTTTGGCTTGCCAGCTTACTCTA